ACGTGGGGAAAAAACGCGCCTGATTTAAATATCACACCTGAACGCTCACATCCTTTTAATTATGTTTGAAATTATGAACATTGCTCAACATCATGAAAATTAAACCTTATTTTCAATAAGCAATCCTGAAAAATATTTGGGGGTGCTTAACTTTTTTCCAGGTGTGTATATAATAAGACTAAATGTAACCTTTTGATGCTAACGCTAGCGGAAAAACAAAAATTGAAGTAAAATACTTTGATAATTGTTTTGGTGAAGGTCATGAGACATTGATACGCCAAAATAATTCATTTTGATAGTTTTCGTCTATGTTAGTAGCTGAAAGAATTATAGGTATAACTTAAAGCATCGGTATTTGTAACAGAGCTTTAGGTTTGTTGTCTAAATGCGAGAGATTGAGGCACAAAATGTTGTTATCAATGAATTTGCATAAAAAACAACAACAAACAAACATTGGATGCAATTGGTCATTTACACCTAATTGTAATATCTAGACAAAACTTGGTTTTACCCTTTCTCTCTCTGTCGCTTGATATATATATACATATGTATATGTGTGTGTACATGTACTTACTCCAATGCACAAGAAGGTAGGGAATATTAATTTTCTAAAGAACCTTTCTTTCACCTGTATCTTTAACACTTTTTGAGACATATCTTTTATTCTTCTGTTTTATCAATATTTCATATCCTGTTGTTTGTAATTTAAGTTGGAGTTGATTACCATTGCATCAAAAATAGTTTCTGCTGTGGGAGTATCATTTGTTCTCGAAAAATAATTAAGTTTCATATAACAAACACTGTAGTATATTTAATGCATTATATTAATGCTGCATTTGCATTTAATATATGTTGTGATAAACGGAATTATGCATATAACGCTTACTCTGTTCCCCTATGCATGCGTTAATATAAATAACATAAGTGAAACATTTATCGGACATGGGTCTACATCTTTTTCATAATTATATTTTCTACGTGGTGAAGTGGAACATCTGAGGAGCATCAGTTCGAATATGATCTTTGCTGGTACGGACACTGTATCCAACACCCTCTATTGGGGAATGAAGCTAATGATTCTTCATCCAGAAATACAGGACCGCATCTATAGAGAGATTGAGGAAGTTGTTGGAAAAGAGAGACTTCCCTCCAATGCCCATCGTAACAATATGCCGTATACGGAGGCTACACTAATGGAACTCCAGCGCTTTGCTAATATTGTACCATTGTCGATATTCCATTCTAATCCAGGTACGTTGAAGTTTTCTTTTTCAAAACAGTTTAAAAGAGTTACTTAAAAACAGTATACACTAGTTGATTTAAATCAGGATATGACAAACACGACTTCATAATTTCAATAATCCGTAAAATGTTGCCCTAAATATTGCAGTTTAAAAAACCTAAAATGTTTTCTATCTAATGACAATTGTGATTATGTTTCTTAATTTTATCTATACATGATGTCAAGTTTTAATCATTTATTTTTGGAAAATCCAATATTTCTGACAAGTGTCATTGTGTTGAATTATCTATCTATCTTTAACCCTTTATATGCATGTTAAAGACATATTTGGTTTAAAATATTTTAATATTATTGACAAAACGTAACACATCTCAGCCGTGGATTATTTTATTTTGCAAACCACTAATTGAGTGAAAAAAAAATTGTTTTCAATTTTAGATAAAAGTATATTCTGGGTTAACCAGATTCTCCGTACAGGGCACGGTCCACCACCGGCAGTTGAATGTGAGTGTTCTATATACAGTGTACGGCTTACAAAAATTCCACGCGCGTTTAGAGCAGCTGAAGTCATTGGATTAATTCATGAAAAGTTGAAAATTACAAAAGTCATTTCACGCGTGCATTATAAAGTTGCATTATTTTAATAAAAACTTGATATCAAAACATTTTCGAGCAATCCTTGTTTTTTATAAAACTGGTAGCTAAAATATTTTGTAAGTAGAAACGGATAAAACATTTTTACAGTGTTTTTCGTAATAATAGTTCCAAATTATGTAATTACCATAGAATAATAAAGTGATAATAATATTAAAAACGTGTTTTATAGGGATTTTCTATCTTAAGGGCACATAGACCTTGAAGATTCAGTTCAAAAGATCTCTCTGCCACAAGAGCTTTGCTCGACTTTTTGCATGGATAACAGAACTTAATATCACTTTTGTAACGCACTGAGTGTGTGGAGTGTATTCAGCAGTATCACGCTTAAGGCCTCAAACTTTTTGATTCGCAGTTCGACATGCTAACCATACTTGTCATATGATACCAGATTTCTTCAAACAGTTTTTCCCAAAAGTATTAAATGGTATGTGTCGTGGCTGTAGTGAATTGTTTGAATATTGCTCTAAAATATCTGATATATTGTAAGATACTACATATCCAGCAACATCAAAGAGAGGTTGTTTCGATCAAACGACCTTCTTCATATGTTTCGGATTTTAAACCTTAATGGTGCTATTTATGTGGCATATGAGTTCAACGGACAGGTCAGAGATCCCAAGGGTAAAGCATAGCCAGTCGTAGTTCACAGCTGCTAACCAGATTGAGGACAACCATTCAGCAACACCCGTTATCACTGCTACTCAGCAGATTGCAGCTCGAACCTTCTGGTTTAGAAATCATAAGGACATGCCTTGCCCTCGTCATAGATGTAAAAAGTTTTTAGTCGAGACATTGGTAACACGTTCTCCATTTATTAATGATTTCCCCACCCTCTAAAAGCTTTTTATTAAACTCTGTACACTTTGGACATTTAAAATGATTTCAAATTGTTAAAGTGAACTTTTTATATATTTCTGATTAAGTAAAATTGTTCTACTCACTCTATGTAATATTTCTTATGCACAGGAATATGTTAGGCTTGAGTCTAATTATATCGATTTTATGTCAACTGAAAGTTAGTTACATCATAAAATTAATATTAGGTCGTCAAGAAATTAATGTCGCGTTTTGGAACACTTTCATCCCCTCCCCAAAAAAAACGTACATCACGTATAATAGTTAAACAAATCGCATAAACGT